ACATTATTTACAGTAACTTACTTGTATTACGTCACTATCAGACTAAGAATTTGTCTTTTTTTTTAATTAGTAATTTACCATGAATTCTTTACAATCTTTCTATTATTTAAAGGAACTAATTAATATCCACTGAAAACTTCAATTCTCAAATAAGACACTAAAATCTAGACAAACACACATTGGAAGTTCATGTTTATCCTTCTTAAAAGCACACAATTATTTTTAAGCATAAATCGACACCACAATAATCTAAATTTCATAATCTCTACATCAACCACGAATCGATGTTACATTGTCATTGAGCATTGAACAACTGCTGTTTTTTTCCTTATGCCGGACTTCTTAACATTTACTAATCTAGAATCCCACTGAGAATTGGAAATAGGATTTTCAAGTCTTTAGATGAGGTTTTAAACTTTAGATCATTGTTGACATGAGAACGCTAGTTAACATGTTGAACAACGATCAGTCAGTTGCAACATAGAACTTTGAACGTGAGTACATCAGTTCAGGTTGCCGCCATACCGCCGATCACTTCAAAATATTAATTAATCATCATCCAATATCGATAGTAGGTAGGTAAAGTGCCGCCACACATCCAACATACTTGAATCCCATTGGTTATGATGGTTTTTCATTAAAACTGAGGGAATTACCTCTTGAAATCGGTCATTAATAAACATAATAATGTGTGGATGAGAGTACTGCTAAGGTATCCTATGGTAGGATGAAAGTTGTCCAGTTTTTATTGATTTTTTGCAGCTAAAATTAATTCATATTCTAAACTACGAAATACGACAATCCTCATAAACCTTTTATTGAAATTATAATAATTTTGAACGGTTCTGTATACCAGAAATCGTAAACATAGAGCATTTGGGTAGGATATATATTGCTTGAAATTGTCACACTTCACATCAAAACAGCGACAGAGGAAATCAATAAGATCGTGAATAAGGAAGAGAATGTCATATCATTTCTACTAAAAGTCTGAACATGAACAAGAAATAAACGAAACTGAAGGATTTATGAAATTATATTACTGGAGATGGTGATACAAACAGGGAATTGATGAAACGATCCTACAACGACCTTGGTGGGAATCACCCATTGCTAGCAACTATCATTTACAACTATTGTGTGAACACATACTGGTAGACTAATAACAAATGACGTTGTCGAAATACGCAATCACTGACTTCTTAGGTTCAAGTGATTCCCCCACTCTTTTTCAGCCTATTCTTATCTCGGAGAGGATTTCACATCGTAATAAGCAACAATTAGGCGTGTTCAACACATCTGAACCGATGAAGTCGATGAATATACATATATAAAAATTTAAAAACAATAATTAATCGTTATCTGAAGGTAGCCTTGGTAGTCAGTTGCAACGTGAAAAATTAACACATGTACATCAGTTTAGGTTTCCAGATTTGATTAGCACAAAGCGATGAAATTGTCATACAAAATCCCAGATTCGTAAACGTATCAGTGTGGCGATCAAACATAAGATTCAAGAAAATATCAATCAGCGAAATACATGATGAGTTCAGAAGATAAGAGTGTGGCGGAAGACAATGAATGGAAGTATCTACGCGATCGCCAACGATTTTGAGCCATCATTCAAAGTCTGTAATCACTGTTTGCGATTACGCGGATCCCGAACAGAGAGTCTACACCTTTTGACATACCTCAGTCTAATTGTCAATGACTTGGTGGACTGGCAGTATATTACGGTTTGGCGTCTACACCTGGCTTTCTTCCAGTCTACTCTTACACCAGACAGCGTAGCCCGCCAACGTAGTGAGTGGCTGAGCATACGTAACACACGTCTCAACCATCTTAGTTAATAAGGATTAACCTCACCGATTGATTTGCCATATTTACTTAGTACCTTATTCATAACCAAGTCATTGTTCATCTGCCTGTCTCAAAATACACGAGTAGTGCTTCAAAGGCACCTAAGGTCGAGAACTAGTAACTAATCAGAAAATACCCAATACTTTTAGTGATCATGTTTCACATCCGTAAAGGAGAATAGAGAGAAACGCTACGCAGTAAGGTCACCCTCCGGCAACCTAAAAGATCAAGCCTATGTATTGAACCATTTCTTATGTTCGTCCAGGTTTCCAGATACATTCTGGAGTTCAAGTTAGAGTCAACTCTTTACTATGGAGCATTTACGTTTCTTGAATGACATTTGAAATCATCATTCAAATTTTTCATTGACTACTCTTCGTATACGCTTCAATCTCACCCTAAAAGAAAACTGGCTTCCAAAGTAAATTTCAGGTATGGAAAGTACTAGCTAGGCTAGAGAACGCTTGATCGTATAATGTATTAGTATGTGCTATACATAATCAGGCTATTCAGGTTCGTTACTTGTTTACAAGTATCTCAGGATAAAGCGAAATGATCTGAGACTACGAAAATGAGCGCCTGGAATACTACTATTGCGGTAATATTCATAATACATAACTGTCTCCAACCTGTGATCCTCGACAACGTATAAGTATGATACTCACAGTTATTGAGTATCTTTGCTTATCAATCTTCTTATGTCATGTTACAGCATATTTCTGCTCTTTTGTGGGTGGAAACTGGGACTGCATTGTGCCATACCTACGAATTGCATACGACTAACTCCTAATGAGATGTGATACCATGACACCCTATCAAATCAGAATAATATCCCACTAACTCAGTATTTTACTTGTAAATGTTACATAACATTAGGACAATAAGGCTCTACCTAAAAGACAAAGACCGATTTCACACCATCAGTCTAACCACTTACGGCAGCGGACAAACTGAAACACATGCAATGGAAGAGATATCGACCTACTTAAATGTCGGTAGTCCAAAGCAGTCTATTACGTATTGCCTTACTACTGCAAAGCTTGATCCTTGAAGGCAAAAATATGTAGGTTGCTTTCGAAGTACAGCTCAGCAGTAATGTATGCTAGCCTATCTTCCTATACTATATTAAAACGCTGGAATGAGATTAACAAGACGAATTGTCAAAGCCGTTGGGACGACATAATTGTCGCTGACGAAATAACTGGAGCATTCAAAAGTATGGTTCGAAGATACGGTATCCGGGCTATATTGAAGGGTCAGGTTTCAAAATGGAAATCCGTTCAAGATTGTCCATTGCTGAGACTAGGTAATGATGGTAAATCATCTGTGAACCTTCATCACTTGGAGCGATCGGACTGAGATGATGTTATTAGCCTGTCAAACTACTCACAAGTCAAAGACACCTAACCAGTGCTGAATTACTAAGACCGTGTAGCTCACATCCGACATCTGAAAAATACTTCCATTCCCGATTTTTCACGCCATTCTCCGCACACTGATAACAAGAAGTGGTAAATGGAACAAAAAGTATTTATGTGGAGTTGTTTGGTGGAAATTTTCCAGGGAAAATCTAAACTTTTCCAAATATACAACTTAACACAGCCATTTTGCGGTATCTTAAAAACTATCTACGTCCTAGACGGTCATCCCACTACTCCCAGTATTTACTTTTAACTACAACAGTGAGAACGTTGTCTGCATCATTTTAATTAATGATTTTTGCATTGAATGAAACAAATGAATTAGTGTATTAACACTCAGTCAACAAATTAGGCGAACGAAACGAAACCAGTCGTAATGTGCAAGTTCTGGATCCTGAAAAGAATACAGTCGAGTGTAAAATTTTACAGGAATGTTATGTGACTGGTATGATATCCATGTATATCCGTCAGCGTTTGGAATTTCGTCCCACGAAAAGGAAGTAGTCTAGCTTTTTAATCTTCAAGAAGACTGGAATCATAAAACAAATTGTTTGTTTTTATCAACCGAACTTTTCAAAAATGAAACTGTGCAAATTAGGTTCACTAAGTTATGCGGCATTAGCAATGCATACAGACACTGTAAGGTTTACTTGTTGAGCTCTGTTGTTCGGAAAGGCATACATTCACACAGATGTCGTTTGAATTTCTACAAGAAAAATTCCCACAGAATATATGGGCACATGAAAATATATTTGTGCAATAAGCAGACTGAATCCGAAAATACGCTAGCTAAATAGGGTAGAAGAAAATTACAAAACAATACAACTTTAAGAAATGATAGGAGAACGAATGAAATCCAATATGTAAAGCATAGTAAGTGAATAGAGCTTATGACGTTTATAGCAATAATCAATAAACTGACAATCGAGCACAGTTAAATACGTGTCCTTTGGATCGCCCGAAAAAGGTCAAGACAAAACAATTAACCTGCAAAATGTCACACAGAAGTAGTGATACACTGACGGTAACCTACACAATACTACAAAATGGGTGAAAGAACACAGCCGAATTGAGCATAAAACTGAAAAGGGATTTTATGTGTACAGACCAGCAAAATGCCGGTATAATTAGGATAGATTCATGCAAGCCACAAAATGATGAAATAGTTTACGCTGCCATGAACCTGAAAAGACAATAGTGAAAAAGCATTGACAGTTGCGATCATAAATACGCTTACAAAAGAGATGTATCTAAACTTCTCACACCTAACAAAATGAGTTAAGTGGTAGCTGTTTAAATAATGACAGCCTAAAATACACACACTGAATTGTAAATGAAAGAGTAAAGTAAATTTTGACTGAATTTAATGAATTGCAAACATCACACAAAATTTAAAGGATCACTAGAATACAATATAGTCCAGTAACGGCAATTTATGCAATATTCATTACTTTTCTGACATTTTTTGGACGATGGCAATACAATCCATTCATTCAAAAAAATGATTATCCATTCCTGTATTATAACTGACGGAAATGAATCTCATCAAAAGAAAATGTAATGAATACTGCTGAATGAACTGGTGGTGGTGTGGTGTGGTAAGCAGAGATATTAACCATGGTATTACAACACAATAGAGCCAACATGATGTAAAGTAAAAACAATCGAAACAAATTTCCTGATCGTTAGTTTTTACACAAATGGGCAATATTGGATAGATCAAATTTTTTGAACTTTCTGACAAACTATTTGAGGATTAGAACGACGGATTTCTTCTTGACCCGATTCACGGTAATCAAAGGAACAATTGTGTGCATCAGAGTAACGATGAATGCTACAATAAAGACCACCACAGCGACAACTGAAACCTAAAAACAGAAATATACATAATTGAATTGTGGTAAACAAGAAATTTAAATGAACTTATTGTGTAAATGAAAGACAAATAATTTTCGAAACCATGAACGATATGCTAGTTGAGACAGTGTAAATAATTACCTGTTAAGCCCACACGTTTGTGACATACAGCGCAGCGTGGTTTGGTTTTCGTTGCTGATCCAGAAGAGGATGTGGATGCTGGTGAAAACAAATGTATACAATAATCACAATAAATAAAGTGGATAAAGGTTTTGTAACAGATTTATAACTGAAGACACTTCGCAAAAACATTATCAAGTTACAACTTTTCTCGACTAAATTCTAGGTGAGTAGTATGTATCGAGGGGTGGTTGTTGGCTTATAGACTAATAATGTGACCGACGGATGAGGACTCTAAAAATCTAGTTTTTGGACTTTAGTTCGAGTCCGGCAAGACCAGTAAATACAACTGCGACGGATAACCTTTACAATGTTAAGATAGTGAGCCAAAAACCAACGTAATCCAAAGTAAAACACCGTCAAATAGGGTAGAAAATAATATTAGTCAAAAGTAATGAGACAGCACTTAGTTCCTTATTCCTTCAGGCATGAACCCTTAGACAAAGGTTAGCTGTAAGCTGGGAAAGATGGAACGAATTGGAGGTACAAAATTTTGATAATTAAGAGAAATATCTGTGCTTTTATAACTAATTCGTCTCATTTTGGGCTTTTGGTTAACCATTGCCGACATACAGAGCTTAGCAAAACAACCTACACTTTCTCGTAAGATTAAGATAACCACAGAAAAATCACCGAATGGTAACATACTTAGGTTTGATGCCTCGTTCTTTTCTAGTAAATAGCTACTTTAAGTACATATTGTTGATTTCGCCAAAATAACGTCTTTGATCAAATTACCATAGCACAGTAGTAGGAAACTATAGAAAAGCAAGGATTGAAACGTCCGGGCACCTAAGAGGGTGAGGAGTCCATCCTTTTCGAAATGCTCATATGGCCGTGCAAAAAGCCACTATCAGGGAAGTTATACTTAATGACTTTTCCAGACGGGGGTTTTGTTTACGTCATTGAAGACGAAAAACAGATGCACAGCAGGGCTTTAACCGAGTAGGTAAGTACGGAGGATCTATTTACAGGGATTTAAAAATTGATTCCGAACCATCGGTGTTTATGAGCTCGAGGATACTGAAGGGACGAAAAGCATGTAAACTCATTTTTGGTCATTGGCTACCGTGGGACTGTATCTGCTAATGTTGTTCTATTGCCTTGTAGATTAGACCTTTGGTCAAAGGCGCGGTGATGGCTTCCTAAGAACACTATCGGATTCGGTTTGGACAATGGGACAGTACCCTAGCTCACAAAAATTCAATGGTTTGTTCAGCGTAGTTATGTCTCAGTACCTCTTCAAACGAACGTTTAGGTTTAAATAAATAATAACGATATTCAGGGAACAGTATAAAAAGTCTTTACATCACCATCAACGACTCACGTAAACTTTTTGAAGTAATAACATCGTGTCTTAGGATTTTATTTTAAATGTGGCCACTTCAAGCGACTCAACTTTGGTAACTAAGTACATGTTTGAGCAATCAGTTTGAGGGTTATTGATAATAACTAGGTACTCAAAGGTAGATTGAGTGAACTCCTGTCCTAAATGCTAAGCGCTTATACTACTGTCACTGCCTTGTTGTCACATCCTACACTGATGGCATTCTGAGTGGAAGCTAGGACTTCAATCTTTGTCTTTCAAAAATGGACAACACTTGGAACCCATCAAATGGTTAGCTGGAACGCTGTTGATTGACACAACTGATATGACTTGTATCATTCTATGTTATGAATCAGTGGTTTTGCGTTATAGAATCTGGCGGAATGACAGGCAAACAGTACTAATTGAACAACCCCTAATTAGAGTTATAAACGCTGAGTTAGTAAACCATCTCTCCTACAAAAAAGTTCCACTAATATTTCCTTGTCAATACACCAGTTCTTTAGTACACAGTTGTCGTGGCTTTCACATCGCTATTCTTTGTCGTATTATTGACTACTAACCCAGTAATAATGTCATTGATAACTACAATGTTTACAGGAATTAGAGATGGATTTGATGCACATCTTTTGATTTTAGTGGTGAGGTTTACCATAGTTGATTTACCTACTAGCCAAATGAAGTCTAATGTATACGAAAGTACACTTTCCGGTTCTTTTTAAAATTAATTTATCAGTCTAGGCAATCACTAATCAATACGTAAACAAGAAACAATCAAAAGGCATTAAGTCATAGGAGGACAGTGATATGCAACCAGGATTAAAACATTACAATGATCCGACTAAAAACACTTCTAAATGACTGTTAAGCTACCTATATATATACATATTCTAACTGTAATTGAAACAAAACTGGGCAGTAAATTTAAGAGGTAACTAACCAGGAGAATCTGGTTTACTGTCTGCTTTTAGATCGTCATTCAAGGAATCTGGCAGATCGACAGCAGATGCCTCAGCTTCTGTGCACAGTTCATGGGCAGATGAGGTTATTGATTCTTCATTTATCTCTAGCGAAGGATCTGGATTGGAATCGGCAGAAATTTTAATGGTCACAGGAGGTACCAATGAGGAATCACGCTTAGAGAAATTGTCAGCTAAAAACACAAAAACAGACAGGATAGTATGCAGAACCAAGTGGCAATAATTTGTTTACGAACTTTTATAAATGTGGTAGTCAGGTTGTTACAAACGCCCAGTTTTGTGCCATCTCAAACGCGTAGGTAAAGATAATAGTCTAATTTACATGACACTTGTTGTTATCATCTGTTGATCTGAATTATGTAGGGAACAACGGGACATATGGTTAGTTCTTGCGACTAGTGTATGATAGATATTAAGCTAGATGTCAATCGTTCAGTCAGCTGCAACGTAGAACTTCGTACGTAAGTACATTAGTTTACGTCGCCATACCACATCAGCACAGAGATGTAATTGTCAATTCAAATCCAATAGTAGAAGAGGTAGTAAAGGTATTAGAAGTAGTCGTACAGGTTAGGATTAGAAGATATTATTCAAGAAGTATGATTAAATGAGAAAAGTTTAGGAAGTCAAAACTAGGGGTGTTGGAGAATCCAGATTAGGATTTGAGAGAATAGAGGCAGAAGCGTGCTTTGTCCTTTAATTTCCGAATCTGTTTAGAAAGCTTCTTGCCCTTTCCAACTTGATTTTCAATATCCCCTTTAATTTTACTATTATTTTCCCTTTTTGGATAAATTTTACTCACGTGATGGCGGAATACTGCAAACCCATTACCGTACAGCAACCGGCATTAAGTTACCTAGTAGTCACTTGTTCGGATTATATCAAACAAGCATGCAATAAGGTAGCTATGTCGACCCGAAATAACTTAGTAGTAATATTTTACTGTAGTAGTGTGACGCCGGAGACTAGATGAAAGTAATCAGCAAATAACAAATGTAGGAACTGTCTACTGTCTTAAAACCCTTCATAACTGTCAACTGTTGAGTAAGTTTAGCGACTAAAGCTACATACAACACAAGTATTCTCAGAATAAACGCAGTGAGCAAACAGGCAAGCATTCCTACTTTCGTTTATTTAAATTCAGGTCACAGATTTATCGATCTGTATTTTCATTTAAGTGGCTATACTAGCGAAACTACGTCGGTCACTTAATATTAGAAACACTACAATCATGAATTACGTCAAACTGCGACTCTACTTCAGCACAAAGTTGGAATGTCAGAAACGTTGGCGATAGACTAACCATGAAGTAACACAAAGTTGTCAGTAGGCTATGCATTGCCGGACTAGGGACATGAGTTGGCGTTCTCTCATCAACATGTAACTATAACTGTCAAGATCAGTGTAAGAGTGAAGAGTACGATTCGAGTAACAAGCATAAAGCAATTAAGGACCTCGGAATTTAAGAGGAAAAAGGGAATGAGCTTTCTCTGTTGGGTCCCCAACAGTTGATTATGATTGCGTGAGATTGAATTTCTAAGTCACACCTAAATCATTACATTGGTGTCATTGGATGAAAAATTTGCAACTGTTGTAATTATGACACGAATAATAAGACGAATGCAACAGTAACTCGAGACTATAAGTAAAGCAACAACCACAGCAGCGTTACCTGTAGAGGCCGTGATCTTCACGCTCCTCTCAGGAGAAAGTTTATCCTCGAAGTTAGAAGTCACACGAGAGACTGCTTGTACACTTTCAGCCTGAACCTGCATACTGCGATGACACTTGGAACAAAATCCATCAAAGTTAGGACTGCCATAAAATCCACATCCCTTGCGGCATAATAAGGGTATGTTCTGAGATTGATTGTTCTCCTCCATTTTCTCTTTAATGTTTAGTAAAATTTTTATAACTCCGTGAAATTAATAATGTAAGTATCACGTCGATACCAGTGTTGGCTGTGCTACTTAGATCTGATACTGCAGGATGACTAAGGAACTGGCTTCGAGTATGGCGCTTGCCGATACGGAGATTCTTATAACAACGAATCAAGTGTGAAGACACTAAATGGCATAAAAGACAATGTCTTCATATTGATGTATTTTAAACATTTATATTAGGCTCGGAACATATTAATTTTCCAAAAAATCAATCTCGAAATCAATACTGTGAACCTAAAGGGATATACAGAAACGTTGAATTTTGTGCGATGACTAAACGGACTAATATCAGTTGCACTTCACCAGAAGTAAGGATTTTAAGTTGGAAAGTTTGTGTTAAAACCTGCACTGCTTTGCGATGGTATCACAGTTTCTCTTCTAAAACTTTAAACGATGGAACTGGGACTACTTTGAAAATGGTGGCCATTCTAGTCGTTGATAATTTCATGAGAAAAACAGAATTTTGTTCAACCTGTTCAGTTGCTGTTTTCAGGCTATCTTATGCAACTTCTCAGATGATTGGTTCTGAAAGAAAAAGACAGGCATCATACAGTAACCTTTATGTCATTTCTAAAGTTACAAAATGACGACTTAATAGCAAATACTGTGACGTTCGAAAGAACAAATAAGAAGTAACTGGGGAAAAAGACACCTCATAAAGATTGCCAAGAGAGATCTCAGCAAATGTGGGAACTAAAGAGGCACCACTTTTCTCTCACTACTGAGGCAAACGAATGGTTCAAGGGAATCCCAAAGTCAATGTCAGCAGGCTGAATTCCATAAAGATCGATCTTGTACCGACCGAACTGCACATGACACTAAGGTCTGTCAGAGCATGATGGGGGTACAGGTTAGGAACCTTCCACAGGTGTATTACTGGTATACGTACTAAAAATTGGTATTAAGCTAACAACAATCGACTGAAACCTGTTATATTGGCCAAGACGTTTTAAAGTAGCGTAAACAAAAGTACACTAGCAAATTTCAGGAATTTATTTTCGTAACTCGGTTGAATCGAAAGGCAGAGATTTTAGAAATTTTTATACTGAGAAATCGCTTAGATTATACATACGTCATGCGTAATATAATATGAACAATAAACTATTCCAATCTTGCGCCTTTTCAGTAATATGTACAGACCTGCGATTGATGTGCTAGTCATCCATGAACTACCATGTCCATAATAAAAGCCAATGTTTTTTGTAATCATTATTCTAATGGATTTTCTCTAATTTATCGTCTGAAGGCAACCGTTTCTTTCGAAAAGCAAATATGACCTATGATTGCTGATGATAATCTTGTACCCAGTGCAGTTCTTTGTTTTTAGTTTTAGTGAACAGATAACAAGCTTTCAAACATAATTTTTGAAAGCCAGATTGTTTCCATCTGTGTTTCTGCTGAGACAAACTAACTCAGTATTACTCCTACTGTTCGATTTGCACTGTTTTTTTCACAATTTTCACGTAAGAGATAAACGTTTTTGAATGTAATTATGAAAGTGATTTGACCGATGCCTTTAAAAACCTTATAAAGATTGATGTGGATGAAGGTGAGCATCTAACGCCCGTTTTAAGCAGTGTACAGCAATAACAAGAAACATATAATTTTCCGAAATCATTTGCAAAACATTTCTTGCAGTTATGATCATTAGTATACAAAACGTTTAAACAGGTATGGTGGAAGAGCAGTATAGTTATTAAAATGCGAGATTTACATATTAAGAAAGCCTGGCTAAGGAAATTCCATAGGAATTCGCCAATTGAGTAGTTGTTTAATAAGAATACTGAGTAATTTTACGAACGTTTTTAAGTCAAGACAAAGGAACGTGAGCCTTGGCCTTGACATATGCACAGGTTAAGTTTCTATTAGAGGCTTAAGAACAGAATTTACCACAAGCGTGGTTATGAGAATAAGTAAAGAACGAGGATCTAAGCATATAGGTGCGAAACCTTGACTGTGTTTCAACTTTTGCTTCAGACCCGACAAATAGTTCTTCAGTAGATAAGCTTCATACTAGCTGCTATTAATATGACGAAAAAGATAAACGCGAATAATCACACCTTAATTTTCACAGCCGTGATTTACTAACTGAACACTAACACGGCTTAATTTTATTTTCTCCTACGCTCTAGTTAATAACTCAGGTATTTCAAGAAGACTTATTGTTGCTTTCGCTAGTAGACTTACATTTATTATCTGGAGAATACCATCAAAAAATGATGCGTTTACTGCATCATTTCTTGGAATAAACAGCTCCTGACTCCACTTCCACTGATACACAACTACTATTCGTTGAAACGCAGCCTGCTTAAAGCGCACCGACCTATACAGAGAACAACCTAGTTTCTTTAGTATCATCCATAATCCCATCAGCGAGAATTTTCCCTTTGTTTCTAAGACCAGCGAATCTTTTAAAATATCATTGTGACTGAATAACTTATCACGTTAAGTCAGGTAGCATTTGAAACGCATTGATATTCTAGGTAAAAACGCATGCGTTGAGTAATAATCTGCTATTTAATAATAAACATTATCACTGTCAGTTGGATTGCTATAACGTTTAACAAGATGCAGTGGCTTGGATTAATGAACGGAAACTCAGAGTAGGAAGAGAGATGGCCGTTCATCACAGTCTAGTGTACCAAAAAAGGTTTTAACTTTATTATTCATCACCTGTAGTTTTTTCTGTTACTTTTTTCCATTAAATGTTAACTAAGAAGTCATAACTCAAGCATCTCTGTTAGCATGTCATAGGTTATTTTAGCGGAATAGAGAAGCCTATGCAAAATTGAGAATATGGGTCGGAGGAGCATCCAGCTTATAAGAACCACCTAGATACCACTGAATAGTTGCATCATCTCCAGTCACGAAAAACCTAAAACAAACAGTGTTCTGTTTCACAAACGTGGATGGATTGAAATTACCATACCAATCGGTTGTGATATCTGGTCTGCACCTCAACCTTCCCACTTTTTGTAATATTAGGCTAGTTTACGGATATCGAAAAATATTGTATTATGTCCTACTTGAGGAGCAATATTTTGTTAGAAAATGCTATTTATAAACTTAGTTTGTTAAACGCTCATAAGACGGCTACCACTTATAGACCTCAGATTGTATATTGATACCGTATTTTATATTACTGCTGTATAAAGGTATGCACTCATATCTAAAAATTGTGTTACTGGGATAAAATGTACTGCTAATTACATCAGTCAATGCAAACCAATGTGAACGGACAGCGATTACACTGCTAAAAGATAAAAAATATAGTTCAAACGCAGTCTTGGTGAAGATAACTTATCTCCAGAGAAGTATGGACAGTTTGAGCAGTGCACTCTGACGTTAGTTACTGGTACAGTTTTATTCAGTATACCCTCACTATTGTTAGTTATACTGTATCAGACGTATTTAATTGCAAGCTTTAGTGACTGAATCAGTTTTGTACTTTATTGGAAAACAGCTCATCAGGCTGTTTATCACTTTGGGAGAAATGCAAATGTTCGTTTTATTTCTAAAACATATGCATATAAGGTTTCTAAAAAGAAAAAGTAATCTTCGTGAATAACCCATATGGCTCAGTAATCACAGGACCTTCGAAATCGCCATCCTAGGCTTCAAAAACTTTTCACATCCTCAAGAAAGGCTCCCGAAAAGCTAGGTGGTCGGAAAACGCTCTGTAAAATTGAAGATGTTCTCAAAAAATAACTTTCTATATTTGATAAAATAAGAGATATCAAACAAAGGAAGAAACAAGTTTGACAGGTATAGAATCGAAGTCAACAAACAGACATTAAGATTTCTAGTATTACAACTGAGACTGTCATTCTCACCATATCTGAGATCTACATCAGTAGACCTTCGTGTGGATACGAGTTTTAGTCCTATAGTGAATTCTGTGTGAGACCAGAATCTACTTAAAAAATGCCACTGAAATTTATACGTCTCTCATTCATAGCATACGTAATACCCTGCAGCAAACAGATGCAATAATCAGACCACTGCTTTCAAGAATATCAAAATATCAACTTTACTGGATATTCCTCTACAGTAATAATTTGATTGGTGTGCTAAATGCAATTTTCTGCTTCTTTGGAGTAAGATATGAGCATCACCACTTGAGTTATAATAGTATGTTGCTATAACATGTTGTTTCTTAAGAATGAAATTATTATTGTTATTATTATAAAACCCGTTACAATAAACACAGTTGAGATTTATTTGGATCGTGACAGTGCATCATGTTCATGCCTGGTTAACGGTCTTCAGAATCTTAGTTTAAATATTCTTCTTGCTTCCAAACCCTTTGGCCACTCGTAGGAACTCAGAATATCTGAAAGCCCTCTAATCGGAAGCATAGTCAAGCGCAGATATATTATTCCATCTGACAACAATACTTCTACTTGGATTGTAAACGTGGGAAAATCTGAGAGGTATTTTATGACGTAAGTAGGTGCATATTTATGTAGCTTATTAAATGTCCTAACTCTAACGTGGAATTTATTTTGGGCTTATTTAACTCGGCATCAGATACCACAAGAAATTTGATCCATAACGTTGCTATTCTCTGAAATAATATTCAGATATCGAGTTTCTTCACTTACACAGATAATAAAGCAAAAGTAAACAAAATTACAGCACTGGATAGCTCATAGTAGGAGTTGCAAGAATTAAATTCTCAACAAATCAAACGGGGGAAAAACAGAATTATAGAGGAACAAGGATGAACTGTTGCGAGTCGAGTAACCCCGTTGAACTCTCATCATTTACAAGAAACAACTTAGTTTTCGACACCAGATTGGGACATTTAAACATTACTGAAGATTTAAACTTTACGTCCACTCATCGGTAGACAGTCTCAGTAACGATTCGGGCAAATTTGATCATTCCAAGTCGAAACCATTCTACGCTAGATTTAACTGTCTCGATGGAGTGCTCTC